GATGGATTCTGCAGGTTTTTGGTGTTTCGCCATGGGCGAATGTCGGGCTTCACGCTGTTCCTAAACCTCAAAGTGACTCGGAATCCTTATCGTTACCGCGGTAGCACCTTGCTTATTATAGTAGATAACCCTTCAAGGAACCCCACGAGGAACCCCAATCCTAAACCCCTGAACCCTTTTTTTGAGCACGGACTGAACCCTAAACCCTAAAACCCCACGTCCAGTTTCGGAACGCGGTAAAAATAAAAAATAAAGCAGCACTCGAGATCCTTGAGCCGGCAGGCTGGGAGTTCTCGGCCAGCAGGGCTCGGGCGACCTGCTTGGCGCTGGGATGTGGGTAGCTCTCTAAACTAGGTCCCTTTTAAAGGGGCCCTTTTTGCAAGGGTGGCGTACTACAGTGGGGACCTAAAGAGGGACCCCAACTTAGAGAACTACCCATGTGTTTCGGCTTTCCTTTGGGTTTTCTCGTAGGATTCCTTTAGAAGGGCTCTACCTTAGGGCTGTATGAGTTGTATGAGGGTTTCTAGAAGGGCTACTATAAAGGGTCCTTCTCCCCTTCCTTTTTGCGGGCTCCTCCAACGAGATCTGCAGACCTCTCGCGCTTCTGGGGTGGCTCGATTCGTTTTGGAGCCGGATGAGATGTGCAGGGGATCGACAGTTGGGGTTCAGGGGTTTAGGGTTGGGTTTAGGGTTCCGAAGGCGGGATCGTTGGTGGTTGGCGAAGCTCAGAAGCTGCCTGTGGAGGTATTCAGGAGATGTGACCGGGGCTCGCGGTTGTGTGTAGGAAGGAGGGGAAATTCTCTGAGGGATTGTGGCGCAAGGTGCTGCAGCTGCAATGTCCGATTCGGGCGTTTCGGAGGGCGTCCGTGAAGTTTCGGGATCGAGGCTTCCGGCTACACTACAAGACCAGAGGATACCGACTGATGGACTTCAGGCGTGAAGGGTTCAGGATTTGGGATGATTTGACCTCCGGTCTGGGAGGGTTTTGTTCATACCTGTCGGTTCCCGCTGGGGGTTTAGGGCTGCTGGCGTTCCACTCAAGCTCTGAAAACCCTTGGCCTCAAGCCACACGAATCATGTCCTAACCCGCATACATCTCAACCCTGTCCGACGGCCTGCAACCTCGCGATGCCGAAAGCCCGAAAACCGCGAGCAGGGGTCTTTAAATGCTCGTTCTCATCTCACATGCAAGCCTTGTCGAACCCGCATAGAACTCTGATAGGGCTCGTATAGAATGCTATAGTCCCATACAGCCCTTATGCCCTGAGCTTCTGGCATCTGGCGCACGCAATGTCAGCCTCTGCATCTCCCCCAAGATGTGAAGCACCTCTGCTTGGCCGGAAGGGCTATGCAGACGGCCCATGGTGTCCGTTGAGAAAGCGTGGTAAGGCCTAAAAACCATCAACAATAAAGCCTAAGCTATACCCGAAGGCACTGCAACATCACCGTAGTAATCTGTAGTCTGCGCGCCACTGTGCTAGGACGACTGCAAGGGCCTTCAATCAGTAAACGATCCGCAAACCCGGAACCTGAACGGGCGTCAATGTCTCCATAAGTCGCGCAACCTGTGGCCGAGGGATTTCGGGCATTCGGGGTGATATAGGGGCCTTAACGATTCGAATAGGGCTTTGGGGCATATCATACTTTATATTAAGGAACCCCCAAAGTAGTATTGGCAATTGTGTGGGCCCCTGTAGTACCTTGCACTTCGTGGCCCAAAGTCTCGAGGCGGTTGAATGAGGGCTTGGCGCGAGTGTGAAGTGTGGGCGCTCAGAACCTGTCGCCCAGCTGACTACGTCCCTAAACCCTCCCACTTTCCTTACAGTCAGTTGCTGGTGGGCGTGTTAGTTTGCAGAGTATAACTTCTCTTGGGATCTACGTTTTAGTTTGAATGAGTTTCCGCGGTGCGATGTAGTTAGCTGAGGCTATGGAAACGGTTGGCTTGCGGTTAAAGCGGCTAACACTCGTTCTTCTTTGGAGTTGATTGCCTCCTTCAGGCAGCAACTATGTGCCACTAAGTAGTCTTCTCTTCCCGAGCTGCGTCCCAACGCTGCAAGTCCGAAGCAGGTTTCGTTCCATACCAATGCGTCGGCGATGGTGCGCAGAAGAGCCCCCGAAGCCCGAAGAACTGAAACTCGTTCTACCACCACTTCCGTGATGGAACTCGTTTTTTCCTGCCTACCGGCTCCGGGTCGAAAGCTAAACCTGGGAAGAAACATCCCAAGACCCGTGGGCGGAGCCACCGTAAGCCCTAAACCCGAAACAGCCCCAAAAGGCCCTCGACAGCCCAAAAGACGAAAGCACCACCTCATTCCAAGAACACCCCTTTAGAGCCCTTATCCCTAAACCTCAATCCCTAAACCCTGAAGCCTCAACCCAAATCCGAAAACTCGAAGCCTAAACCCTAAACCCCAAACGCGAACTCCGCACCTTAAGCCCCTAAGACGTGGGGGGCTTCCGAAAACAGGGGACCCTAATATAGTACCCCAAATAGTAGGCTCCTTATTATTGCAAGGACCCCGACATAAGGTACCCCCTTCTTTTCGGAAACTCCCACTTCGCACCTCAAGCCCCTGAGACTCGAAGCCCTAAACCCGAAACCGGCCCTAGGAGCCCTAAAAGTACCAAAGAGTAGGATCCCTATTAGCAAGGACCCCAAAATCAGGTACTCCCCTTCTTTCGGAAGTATCCCACTTAAAACAACCCCGAAACCCCTAAACCCTAAACCCTAGACTCTGAATCCTAAACCCTATAAACCCTAAACCGGCCCTAAGAGCCCTCAAAGTACCCCAAATACTAGGATCCTTATTAGTAAGGACCCCAAAATAAGGTACTCCCACGACTCTAAACCCTAAACCCTAAACCGGCCCTAAGAGCCCTAAAAGTACCCCAAATAGTAGGATAAATAAGGTACTCCCTTCTTTCGGACATTCCCACGCCCTAAGAGCCCTCGGCTGCTACTGCGACGGCCTCCGCCCTCTGGGCCAACTCGGCCGCTGCCATCTTCGCCTTCTCCGCCGCCTGCGTTGAAGGCAGGAGGTCGGCTTTATAGGGGTTTAGGGGCTTAGGGTTTAGGGCTTATGGGGTTTAGGGGCTTAGGGGGTTTAGGGGCTTATGGGGTTTAGGGGCTTAGGGGTTTAGGCTTGGGGTAAGCGCTTCAGGGGGAGGGGTTGTTGCTAGTTTGAGGGCTTAAGACTGCACCCCATTTCATGAGGGCTAAGGGTAGAATTACCTGCGTTCGATAAGGGCTTCTTTTGGGGATGTTTGGGGCCCCTGGGGCCTATTCCAGGGTGCACCGCTCATGTAACCTAAGCCTTGGAGAGAGCTCCATGGGCTGGGTCATGCTTCAGAACCACCTCAATTAGGGTTTAGGGTTTAGGGTTTGGGGTTTAGGGCTCAAGGGCCTTATAGGGGTTTCAGGTGCAAGGGGCTTGTAGGAGGTTGTTGGCGATGTTATTGGCCTGTTTTTTGGGGGAGGGGGACGGCGGGGAACGCTTGGAGTAGACCGGACTACAACCCTTCTTACCCAGGAAACCTCAACACCAAGCAGTCTGTTCTTCTGTACGACGCCCCCGTCCATTCTTGTAAGGGACTTCATCTAAATCAACCCGAAACCAACGCTGAAACTTCTGGCGGGAGGTACCAACAAGAAACCCATCCCAACCCTGATGCCGAAGCCTTGCACAAACCCTCACAACACAGCCCGGGTACTAGAACCCGACTTCACACCCCGGAACCCTAGACCCTTCAAAAACAACATTCCTAAACCTTCAACCGGATGCCCCAAAAATACACCGCGGCTTGCAACCGACGGTAGAAGTAGTGAGCAGGACTGGGGAAAGAGCTAATGTAAATGAAGAGGCCGAGATAACTGGAAAAGGCTTTGGGGGGGGTGCATTAAGTACCACTGTATTCAGGAACCCTGAGGAATAGTATTGGCAACTATTCCGGCCGCTAGATTTTTCCGAGAGGGCACATTCCTGCAAGACTTTGGAAGCTTGCGGGGCTTTAGAAGACGTTGCATAAGAGAGATTCTGCTGTGAGGGTGAAGGGCTTCAACACCCGACCCTACAAGTTGCGAGCTCTACATCTTCAACCCATCCCTACAGGATTCTTCGGGAGACTTACAGTACAAGCCAAAGACGTCGGAACATATGTTTAGGGTTTAGGGTTATTGTCCTCATGCTCTTGAGGTAAAGTAGAGGGAATCCCAGCACCAATCATCCTAAATCCACGCTCCAACTCTCTGCGGTAAGGGCCACAGGGCGTTGGCTTCCAAAGGCAAGCCTTCAACGCCGGCAGTGTAACACCCTCGCAAACTCCTGGAGTTGAACGAAGCCCCTACTAACCCTAAGCCTTACAGTAGCACCCTAGTTGGAGGAACATGGGACTTAGGAAGGTTAGTAGAAGTTCCATAAGTTGGGGGTGATAAGTAGTTATGAATAGTGTAGTCACCTTACTTACAACCCTAGTTACGAAGTCCCATGATCCAAAGAAGTAGTATAGAAGCCTCAGTAGATGTACTCAGGGCTTCGGGATTTCTATACCATACCGTATATCCAAGGTCCCTGACTCAGGTAACATTGAACCCTAGACCCTAAACCCTAAACCGCAGTGAGGCTTCAAACTGTCGCCTCTTGCTCCTTCTGCCGCTGCAGCTTGTCCACGATGGTATCGACTTTCGGTAGGGTGGCCGGGTCGATCAGCACAGGCCCTGGTATAAATTGTGGTTTAGGTTTAGGCTCGTTTGGCACTCGCACTCGACGTTTGGTTGAGGCTTCAGTGTTTGGGATTGAGGGCTCATGCTTTGGGCAAAGTAGTTGTGACCTCATGGACACAAAGGAGCGGTCTACATGAAAGCTATTATCTCTATGAAGCCCTTGCGACGGCTGTTGTAACTCAGACACTTGGTGTCAAGTAGGCTCTCCGGCACGCACTTTTTTTTTGCCGTTTGTTGCTGATCTCATCTTGCGGGGTATCAGCAACTCCAGCCTTGGCTCTCAGCAACTTGCAAACCTGCGCATGGCCTGCATTTGCCGCTGTACGATAAGGCGTTCCACCGCTGTTGTTTGGAAGGGTCGGGTCTGCGCCAGCCTCCAACAGTAACCGCACGACAGGCAGGCTGCCAGCGGCTGATGCTGCACACAAAGGTGTCTCACCGTGATCATCACCAGCATCCGGGCAAGCGCTTGCTCGCAAGAGCAACTGCACGATTTCAGTGCGGCGTTCACGCGATGCTCCGAGGAGGGGGGTTTCGCCATTTCGAGTTTTCGACTCTGTATTCGCACTAGCAGACAAAAGCAGACGCACCATCTCCACGTCGCCACGGCATGTCGCCGCCCATAGAGGGCCCCCAAGGAGGTGTCGTGCCCTTGTGAGAAACCGCCGCTCGTCATAATCAGCTGCAATTCATCGAAGGCATCCCTGTCAGCACCAACATCTACAAGCAAAGCTGCCACAGATAGGTGGCCAGCCAAACATGCGGCGCACAGAGGAGTTCGGCCATGTCTATCGAATACATCCGGCTCAGCAAATGCATTCAGAAGCAAACGCGCTGTCTCCAAATGCCCGTAGAATGATGCCGTCCACAGTGGAGTCCGGCACTTTGCATTGCGTGCCTCTACAAATGCATGAGCTGACAATAGAAAGCGAACCACATCTACATGGCCCATTTCTGATGCCGCCGAAATTGGTGCTTCACCGAACCGGTTCGGATGCCAAGCAAGCTCGTCGCCAACCTCAGACACGGCATCTACGTCGGCCCTCACGTCCAAAAGAAATATTGCGACATTCAAGTGGCCATGTCGCGATGCCTTGCAGAGGGCAGTCTCCCCTGCTGCGTCCTTGGCATCCTTGTCAGCATTAGCCTCGAGAAGCGTGCGGACAATGTTCAGCCAGCCGGACCTGGCTGCTTCACACAAAGGTTTTGTGGCGCCGTTTTTGGAAATTCCATTTGGCTGAGCTGCTGACTTCAAAAGTAAATTAACGATCTCCTGGCTGCCACAGTCGCACGCAGCGCAGAGAGGAGTGTAAGCGTCATGTCTGTTCAGCTCAAAGAGGCCGTCTTGGTCTGCGCCAGCTTCAAGGAGCATCTCGACAATCTCCGTACGACCCGCGCGAGATGCAACAGTCAGTGGGGCATGCCTGTAATCATCTAAAACGCTGCCATCCTCATCACTATCCCAATCCGACCCATCTTCCAGCTGTAGCTCTGGATTTTGTGGTCGCTGCAAAATGTCCTCGACCACGGACACGTTGCCATTTTCAACAGCCTCGTGCAGCTCAATCACTTGTTTGTAGGATGTGCTGCAGAATGGCAGCTGAAGTAGCTGCAAGTCAGCCGGCCCATCCAACCGGGCTGCATCCTCAAGGATAGCGCTGTCCTTCCTTTGTCGGAATCGAGGTACCCCGGTCAACTGGCAGAGCTGCCTCTTTAGAGCGCGTACATCAGAAAGCTCGTTGGCGGGCGTGGCCTGCAAGAGTTCTCCCGAAGCTTTCCAGATATGCAACATGCGAGAAATGCGACGATGCTTGGCTCACGCATGTCAGGAAGCACTAGAGGAAGCTGAACACGATTGAACATGGACTACGGTTTCCAATTCAATGCCAACAATTCCCGCTGCCTGAGTCTAAGATCAATATATGTGAGCGGCAGGATTCACGGGCCACGACGTTACATTGCTATCTTTCACGCGCAAATTCTGCTGCTACTCACGACCCACTACTCACTACTCACGACTCCCTACTCACTGCTCGCTACTTACTAAATACTACTTGCTCCTTACTCCTTCTCCTTACTACTGACTGCTTACTGCTTATTCCTGACTCCTCATTCATGTCTCCTCCTACTGCTCCTGCTCCTCCTAGGTCCTACTCCTGTTCCTGCTCCAGCTCCGTCGGTATACAGCGAGAGAACCTCAGTGGTATGTGCCTTTGATTGTCGCTCAGGGGCCTGGAGCTGTTCAATTAAGGATGCATCGCCGTGAGGCTCGGGGCTCCAGGCTCTACGACTCAGCCTGCCTGGGTGGCAGGGTCCCGGTGAAAAAGGAAAGAACGAAGGGTCCTCTTTATGGGCTCCCTTTCAGAACATCGAAACCCAAAACCAGGCCCCCGGCGATTGACCAAGTTTAGGGTTTAGGAAAGTTTAGGGCAGAACCATTCTGAGCCTAAACCGATAGCTGAAACGGCTCAGACATCCACTTTGCGGGATCTTGCTGTTGCTTCTACGAGTAAAACAAGAAAGTGATCCCTAACATAAACAGCAAACACCGGCTCCTCAGCCTCAGGATTGTGCGGATTGGGGGTTTTTTTCTGGGCTCGGAGGCTTCGATTTTCGGCCCTGGCCTAAACCCTTTTGCATCCAGGACTCAAACTTTGAAACCCTGAGCCCTGAACCTCAAACTTTGACCCCGAACCCAATGATTGTCAAGCTAAAGCCCTGATTCCCAAACCTTGAACCCTAATCTCACCTAACCCCGAATCCCTAAAAGAACCCTAAACCTCAGCCCTAGAACCCTAAATCCCAAACCCTCGACCCTAAACCCCGAACCCTATGCCCGGAACCCTCAACCCAAACCCTGTAACCCCTAAACCCTATACCCCGAACCCTCAAAGGGATCTTAGGTCTCGGAGAGCCGAAGCTAAACACAAAAAACAGGGCCCGCCCGCTCCTGGTTGCAAGTCCCGGGTCCCTTAAGGCCGAGGGTTTCTGGGGTCTGGATTTGGGGGTTTAGGGTTTCGGGGGGTTTAGGGTTTTGGGGTTTAGGGGTTTAGGGGTTTAGGGGTTTAGGGTTTTGGGGTTTGGGGGGTTTAGGGTTTCGGGGCTTTGGGCAACCCTGCTCGGATTTTCGCGGCGGGTTCGTGCATGCATTTGCTGGGGCTACGGGGCTACCTGCCTGCTTTACAGGACAGGCTGAGGAAGGACACGGGCGTGGATTCGGGGTTCGAAGCTTAGACAAAGTGCTTTCAGGGCTTCAGACATACAGGGTGTGGAGTGTAGCAGCTGGGAGCTACCTCGACTTGAGTCTGTGACGGGGCTGTCTGCACATGTATCGGAGGCCAAGCCTCAGAGGTGAAACAGCTGGAACTACTGCTTTTCTGACGGAGTCCGGTGTGCCAATGTGGTTTCGACTCCTGGTTTAAGGTTTAAGGTAAACCAGCACAATGAGACCTACATCTTGCCCCCTGTCTGGATAGGCGCTGGACTTTGCTCCGTGGAATGATCTGCCACACACCTGAAAAGTGGAATTATGCACAAAAAACACCTGACACCTGTTGCCTCTGATGTGCGACCAAGCCCTGATCTTAGATCGCAGATCTACAACGCGTGCTCGCTCACGCATCACTGCTTGGTCCAGCCCGATCTGCCAGTGGCGACATCATGTCGATGTAGCTTTGGTACCTGAGTGCGGATTCGCCTTCATCATGGCCTGCTTAAATTTGCGAGACTTCGTCTCGTACAGCCACTGTTCTGGTGGTGGTGGTGGTGGTGGTGGTGGTGGTGGGGGCGGCGGCGGCGGCGGCGGCAGTGGCTGCGGCAGTGGTGGAGTGAATTCATGCCCATCGCCCAAAGACCTAAACACTCAAAGCAGTAAGCACTAAGCACTGTCTCCATCGCCAGCAACCAAAAGACCCAAACATTCCAAAGCGGGAAGCACTATCTCCATCGCCAGCAATCCCTAAACTCTGAGCCCTACAGCCTATATAAAACCGAAACCCGCATCTTGCAAAGGACTACCATGCCTGCCCATGCAAACCCAAATCGCGGCATCGCGACTTGAAGTACTCCCACTGGCTGTCCGGTGTGGTCACGAAGCAGTCCTCTTGGGATATAGCTTGGGTACTGCCCCGATACTGTAACTGTCTACAATAAAGGTACAATGCAAGGGCCTTATATAGCTGTATTGTGAATACTATTCAACTGTTACTGAGTGTGGGCAGTATCCAAGACAAAGCTGAGTCTTTGGCGGGGCCGGGGCCTTTCCGTTTAATTTGGGAAGTGGGGGGGGGGGGGGCTTGCTCCACGATCGCTACTTCAAGTAGAGTTGTCAAAGAATAAGCACTAAACAATGAGCACAGATTGCTGTATGTACTTATGTACGTGTGTGTGTATGTGTGTATGTATGTATATATGCATGTATGCATGTATGTATGTATGTATGTATGTATGTATGTATGTAGGCATTTATGTAAGCATGCATGGATGTATGTACTGTATGTATGTATGTGTGTAGGTATGTGTGTGTGTGTGTTTTCATGATTATACATACATACATACATACATACATACATACATACATACATACATGCATGCATACAGGGCAGGAAAAGCGGGTGGCTCCTGGTAGTGCTGAAGCAGCTCCTCGACCTGAGAGTCGCTGATCTCGGCGTGCATGTAGGTCCTCCGGATCTGCGGCTTTCGGGCTTTAGGGCTTTAGGGTCTCGGGCTCAGTAGGTTTCGGAACCAGGTTTCGGAAGTAGGGCAGCTGAAAGTCCCGAACACGACATCGCCTCCTGATAGCAACGACAGCAATCAGCTGGCAGCTTGTTGCGCTGGGCTCAAGAACTCAGCACCATCTGGCGACCGCACGACATACTCACATCGCAAAAGAGCACACCTACCGCGCATCGCTTGAATGGACACGTGCATGTGAACGACGCACAATTTTAGCTATGATACTTCTAGCTCACGTGGATCGATGCCAGTAGCTTGTTCGTTAAAGGCTATGCTACCAAAGCATTTTGGAATCACAGCTGGATGTTATGTTTTTGAGTCACGGTCTGGGGTCGGCACGACTATGTAGGTGATAAGGGTATTTCATTGGCTCGTCTTTAATGTTTGCTTCAATCGGTGATTTCAGCTGTCGCATGCTTCGCACACATGACATGCACCCAAGATGGATGTTGCATCTACTTACGACGTTTGGCTCGGCGCCCTGTGGACTTGACTGGAGTCTGGAGCTTGCCGCACTCGGGAGTGAACGTCTCCGACGCTGCAGCGTGAGTGCCTGAATGTGGTGAACACAGCACTTCTGTCAGTACTGACAGCTTGGTTCATACATTGCGTTGCCAAGCCGTGGTTGGGTCAAAAGTGTTGCAATTGAATCTCTCTCATCGTGCGCATTCTGAGCTTGCGCAAATGATCTGGGATGCAAGATTGGTAGGCTGCAAGGCCACTCGACACAATACCTGTCGAAACGATTTCAACAGTGAGGATGGAACACTTCAGCTTGACTGCACTCAACATAACAACAACCGATAACGAAACTACTACAGCAGCAACATTGGCATCATCAACACCGCCAGCATCATCACCAACACAGTGGCAGCACTGACAGCTTCAGTTGCCACCCTCTTACCTAAACCTGTTCTGTGGCTGTTAACAGCCCTGGGTCCTAGAAACGACGAGATCCTTGGGTACTGTATGTATAAGAATCACAGCACCCCTGAAAGGGTCGCGGTTCAGGGCGAGCGTTTAGGGTGTCGAGCACCGGACAGTCCTGAGTGCTTCACGCAGGTCATGGACCCTGATGAGCCCATCGGGCGCATTCCG